CGTGTTTGGGCTAAGTCTGCACTTAGCGAAAGCAACCGGCTAGCCTTTTGGAGCAGGTGTTTGAATGTTATGGATTGTTCAGATGCGGAGATATCTGAGTCATCCATGACAGGCGTGTTAGATACTCAGTGAGTGAGCGAATTTGGGACGCGTGGCTTTCGTCCTGGAGTCGTGATCGGATGATCTTGTGTCAGTGGCCTCCAGATCAACTTTGTGGCTCTGACGGAAATAGATTGTTATGTTCCCAGAAGATGATGATAACGGCAATGGTAACGACGTGGTGATCCGTCTGGGTGTCTTACGGTGGTGGGATAGGGTACCTTGTTCCGCGGTTGTGGAGGCCCATGGATCTGGGCTAGGTATGGTCTGCGTTATAGGCAGAGCTCCGGTCTCATTGAGCTTCCAGCGCAGAACTCTCGGAATTTTTAATGCTGTCCACAGATTGGGCAGGGAAGTACTGTTGTAGGCGATTAGCTAAGTCGTAGATAGAACTGACATTCGACCTGAGAGCATCGGTATTATTAAACAGGCTCGCGTCCTTCAGGACCGCGCACTTAAACGTGTGGGCAGACAAAAGCCTCATACATTCTGCTTCATCTTCGGTGGGGTGGCGAAGTCTATGATATTGTGTAATTACTCGTCGTCCCGTAAACGTTCTTCCACATGTGCGGCATGTATATGAGATCTTTATAGCCTACCGTTTCCGCCATGAATCCAGTCGGATTTCGCTAGTGTGTTTAGAGGTATCTTGTGAGGCGTCGTCTAGTGGAGAAACTTGGCGGACAAAGGTCACATTGATAGCTATGGATTCCCCGTGGAGCAAGCGACGCTGATACGGAATTCTGCACTCTATCTGGTGATGCACAATTGGCGGACATTGAAGGTCTCCCAGGGATGGCTGTTGATGACGTAGAAACTGGGTCTGTCGGTGCCAGTGAGTTTAGGGTCAATTAGATAGTTGGCGAACGCTGAAGCGAGATGGGTCTTCGCGCAAAGCATGTTGAGGGACTGTCTGTTTTTGATCATCGCTACCTTCGGAGCATTGGTGGTGTACGATGGCAACGTCACACTAGTAACAAATATGTTAGAGGTAAGATTTTCAGATCAGACAGATTTTGCCGGTCACTGAGCAGCATAATTTCTCTGCGCATACTTCAGTGACTTGGACATGTTCTTCCCATGCCTACTCATCGCTTACCTCTCCGTGCCCTCTTTGCGCGCGCAGAAGTCGTTTGGAAGCGAAAGCAAGGCGGCCAACGTATGACTTGTGCCAGGAGCATGAAGGAGTTAACGTCAATGGTACAATTGACGTAGTGTCGCAAAGTATGGAAAAAAGTAGAAACAATCGCGGGAAGTAGGAAAAGCGGGGTTCATGGGAATAGAGAGTCACAGCAAGTCTGCCATTGCACACGATTTCTTGCCATATCCAAGAGTGTTTACGGCCATGCATGTTTCGGATCCTTCACACTCCTGCCAAGGAGCCGAGAGCGCCCGACCACGGTTGACTTTTACGTTAGATCCTTCACGCTCCTCTCACAAGTCATACCTTGCTTTCCCTTCTACCCGAATTCTGCGCGCACGAAGAGTGCACGCCAAGGTAAGCGATGAGTAGGCATGCAAAGAACCTGCCTAAGCCACTGAAGTATGCGCAGAGAAATTATGCTGCTCAGTGGCCGGTAAAGTCTGTCTAATCTGAAAATCCTCTGTTTAGCATCTTCATTACTAGTGTAACGTTACCATCGTGCACCAGCAATGATCCGAAGTCAGCGGTGATCAAAAACAGACAACCGCTCAACATCCTTTGCGCGAACAGGCCATGTCTTGCAAACATAGAGAAGAACCGCTCTCACCGTGGCCTTGTTATCTCGGCCCTTCAGTGATAGACTTAGATTGTCTCGACGCCAGAGATGGCGGAGATTGGCAAAAGCAACCCGAGTCTTGGAGACGTGCAAAGGACCTCATCCGTTAAACCATTAGCGCTGAGGCAGCTTCCGAGGTAAACGAACTTGTTCACCACTTTCATTGAATGATCTAGAAGAAGACCTTGCACTTTGATGGTGCGAAGGTCATTCCGAGCTGGAGGACAAACACCTCCAACTTACACAGGACAATTTGGGCGGCCTGTGAGGAATCGCAGATTACGGCAATGTCTGCATACTCCAAATCCAGAAGCCGGTCCCCCAGAGTAGCTCGACGCCGCTGGGTTCGCATTTCTCCGGAGCAATCTCCAGGATTTCGTCCATTGCGAAATTACACAAGAAAGAGGATGGTGGGCAACCTTGTCTCACATCACTGGTGATACTAAAGGGCGGGGGGCGAAAGTCCGCCGTACACCCGCACTCGGTCTGATGTTTGGGAGTAAATGGCTTGAAGTAAGGTGACACTTCTCGGGCACTCACCTTCTCAGTAGACAACTCCAGTGAGCAGCTCTATTGACTAAGTCAAACGCGGCTCGTATGTCTAACAAGACGACGCTCGTTGGCTGGCCAAATGTTTGATGACCCTTAAGTATTTGGCGGAGTGTACATATGTGATCGATACAACTCCGACCTGATCGGAATCCAGCTTGCTCTCTTCGCGTACTAGGTTGAACCTCATTAAAAGCAGAGCTGCAAGCATATTGGAAGGAACACACTTGAGACTGACCCCTCTGTGGTTGGCGCAGTCCGTTCGGGCACTTCTTTTGAAGACTTGCACGATATTCACTAGGCTCCTATCAGATGGTATAACTTCAGTGACCCAGATCTCTTGGAGGAGAGAAGTCAACTCCTGAACAAGTGATGGGCACCCATCTTCGGAAAGATCCGGAGTGAGTTCATCTGGGCCAGGGGCGCTTTAAAATGCGAAGCTGATAGGCACCCTCAGCCTCGGATGGTAATGAAGCATCTACACACCAGGGAGCACTCTGGACTGCAGAATGGGAACGCATTGGTGCTACTGGCCAATTAAACTGCTGCTCGAAATGCTCAGCCCAACGCTCGTGTCGGCCTTTCTGACAGTGGATGGGTTTCGCATAAAACTGCTTACAATCGGCCTTTTGCCGCCAGTAGGTCGAATCAAGAGGAAGATCTTACGGAATTTCCCCGAGGTGACCGCTTACTCCATCTCAGTTACGCGTTATGTCCACAAAACCTCGCGATCTTCCCGAAGAAGCTGTTCGGACTCAGCGTTGGTAGTCGTGCTTAGTGAATGATAATTAACGCTAGCGGGAATTGCTCGATGGGCTTCTAGAAGTTGGAGGGATAGTGATGGAGTCAGCACAATCGCTAACTACTTATGCGTCGTCGGCTTTCATGGAACGCAGTAGATTGTCGGACCATGCGCCACCGCTCTTTCTACTGTGTGTAGGTGCTTCCACGAAACAGGCGGATTACAAACGGAAGCTATGTGTTTCTACAAAGCAATTCATCCGGTAGCTTATGCGGACACTCAGTTTTGACGTGCATCATTCGCTACGGGGTACGGAAACTAAATTTCCCTGCTTTTATAATTTTAACCTCAGTCATGTCTGTCAGTTTCACCGAAATATATGTGCCGTCGCACTCTGATAAGTGTATCTGATTCTCTATGGTTCTTGCCGAACGGTTCTGGTACCCCAGTTCAGTGTGAATCGAGCTGAGCCAAGGAGCCTGCAAAGCTGTCAACTTTATCGTGCTACTGTGAGGCTCACAAAGACGGCTTTTCACTCCAACCGATTGTCCATTCCGGAGCAGTCGAGCCTCATGCCTAAGTACTCCAACAAAAAGGCTAACCCTTCGGAATCTTAGCATTTGCTGGTAATTGCCATCCTGTTTTTCTATTATATTGTTTCATCACCTGCAGAATTTCAGATCACTTACCTGCTATAGACTCACGCTATAGACTTTTCTCTAGGTTACCATCAACGGGCACTGCTATCCCGTAACGCATATTTCGCTTAGTTCCATCAGTTCTCGTGTAAGGACGCTTTCGACCCTCTACTGAATGACTAGTAGCCTCGTTTTGTACACTGGATGGCAACTTGCTTGCTGATAGAAACGGTGAGCCTCAACTTGACCACCAATTGCCGGCCCTTAGCCTTAAGGATCACAAGACTGCCTTGTAATCTGAGGGCACGGGTTGGAGCCTGCATGGGACCGGGCGACGCTCGCAGTATTCGTAGCCCACTTGCGACCCTTGGCGGTTGCGCGACAGCGAAGCGTCGGTACTGCGTACCGGCGTACTGCTGATGCCTTCTTTTTCTTTCTTTAACCACCAGTTCATTCTTGCGCTTACCGGTTTTTTCTATTGAGGTTTTGGCATGTCTCATGGTCTTAGTCGAACTACGAATTTTCGCTTATTCCCGTCATTGCCCCGACTGCTTCTCACTTGATTCCGAAGATCCTTTGAATGCTATTGGTACACTTGTTCCTTCGAGCAGATGTAACTTTCTCGGCCTTCCGTGGTGGCATAGTTTGATCCTGGATATTCTTGTTCTCTAGTATTCAATCATTTCACGCACACGTTCGCTTTGTTATCACGTGTCACATGGCCGTAATGATTGACGAATCGGTCGCTTTTTTACCTTGCTACTCGTTTTAATTATACTATAGGGGCTTGTGAAATAGAGTATGTTTGCCTTGCTTATTCCATATTCCCTTTACATAGTCGTGTCCTGTGAACGCTCGCTCGTTATCTTCAATATGTCGACACTGGTTATAGTTGGTGGTTCCACGTTACGCATTCATATTTGTCCCATATCATCCTACCCCTCTTGACGAGCCAACACGCCTCCCAGAGGTATACAGCAGTCCGGTAACGATGCAACATGCATTCTTCTTCCCATCTACCTTAGTCACTTCCCGAATCTTGTCCAATTTTTAATGTTGGATTTAGAGTACCTGCCGTGTGGTTGGATTGTGACACGCAATATCTATTGAAACCTCGGTCCTCGCGATCACGGGACCGTATCTTTGTCCGATTTTACTTGCTTTTCACTGGCCAAGCTCACGAATCTCTTCCACGGTGGTTACTTTTTGCAGGAGTACAACAAGCGGCGACAAATGCGTCTACGAAAAAATCGGCCCAAGGAGTTGGAGGATCTACTGCAGTGTATCCCAACTAAAGAGGGAGCCTGTCACACTATCGAAGTGAGTTTGTTATGCAATTTGACCACAATGGTTCCTGATGTCCGCCGTTTACTTTGGTTTATCGAACGTCGGCATCTTCTGCCTTCCATTTACGCCTTTATTTGTATAGATTCGCCTGGTTCGAAGCCAACCACCAAGTGCAGCGTTCCAAAGAACGATTGAGTTGGAACACCTTGTTTACCAAGAATATCAGATGAAAGTTCATCACGATGAACCATCCAAATGTGATATGAAGTCTTTCACACGCTTTTTGGTGAATTCTCCGCTCGTTGTAAGTCCTTCTTGTTCACTTTGGTTGCACCGCTCTCTTTTCAGTTTTGGAACACAATTCAGGATCTGTACGGTTGCACAACTTTTGAAGTCCCCTCTCTTACTGTTCCATTTTGAAGCCTTAACCACTGCACAATTTTTAGCATGGGCATCAGGCATCCGGTGGTTTCCCTACACAGATGTGCTCATTCGTACCATAAATGCCACACGGAACTCTGCTTCTTGCTGTCCCATTTTTCCATTATCATAGTCTCCAAATACTGCTAAATGGGGAGGCAGAATTTCCGGACACCACATACATCCCATTTTGCGACCATCTTTGCGTTACAGTGTCTCGAAGCAGCTGGATACCTTTAAGTAGCTGCATGCTGTTGTTCGACATGACACAGTTGTGGAGTTCACTATTTCTCATCCAACTGTCAGCATTCTCGGCCGATGATATTTTATGCTGAACTCCGTGTCTACCAAACTCAATCGGAGGCATCTGGAAAGTGTTAAACAGTCATTCCTTCCTATTTGGACTCCTAAGCCAAGGACACCCACCGGATTCCGATGGATTCAAATCCATGAATTTTACTTGCGAGTCACTGCGCCACTCATTCCCCTTTTCCTTGGTTGTTGTATTCATGTTACACCTCATTTCCACTGCTTTGTTGACTACCCCTATCCTGTCCACACAAGTTTAAGCAGCTGGCCCCACCGCTTTTCGGTGCTTGAATCATAGTTGTTTAACCGAACTGGAATGGACAGTCGTTTTTCTTTTTCTTTGGTTATCGGGAACTGTCGCTCAATCTTATATACGTCATTGGGCGATTCTTTACCAAAAAGCGCCTTCTATCTGAAGCCTTTCGAACTTCCATAAGCTGTTGTACACTGATCGAACCAATCCCTCTTTGCAAACATGTATGCATCTGTTTCGACTTATACTTATGAATATCGTGTTGCCAGATTGAAGCACTTGCACATTCGGATAACTCCGATTTATTAACCTTATTTTTGTGTTAGGAACTTGGCATCTCAACTATTATTTCAAACTTATCATCCAGAGTTATTTGATGTTATTGCGCTGTTAATCCTCAAAGTGCCCGTTTTCATTATTTACCAATTCTCCTAAATGAGGTGACATTCCGCAGCTGCACTGGGCTTCAATCTAACTTAGTTTAGCTGCCTGACATGCATCGGCGAGAGTTGCGTATTCATATCATCTATCCACTGACTCTCATCGCACTGGCGCGCAATTAGCTGATGTTCATAATTGTTACACCCTCATGGAGTTACTGCGACGCACTTGCCTCCTTTGTTCCAGGTTGCACATCCGATCTCATGCTAACGATTTCATGTTTGTCACGTTTGCGCCACGCCTCGCCTCTTGACATTGGAAGACCACTGACAGGAGGATATATGGTCATGTGCTGTAATTTGTAAGCTTTATTAGCGCAAACTATAAATCGGTCGGAGTACAGACTTAGTCTCTTTTTATCCCCAACTTGACTGCATTTCGCCGCCATTTCGTTCTTGCTTTTGTTCTTCAGCCAAATGTTGCCAGAGCTGGAACTTTAGCGCGCGATGTATGAATCACTGTCTGATTAGATTGCTACCACGTTTACAGGTTCTGTGGTCAACGCCTGTCATGAGCCTTAGCTGTTTAATCCTGGTTCTGGGATACTTACTGTTATTGGAATTACGATACCCAACTTCAAACAAGTCACTGATCAAATAGCATATACACTTTTTATTTCCAGCACATATCGAGCATTCCCTACTTCTGGAAGTGAATACAGTTCAATCTATATCTGGCCACCTACTTTTGCGATAACTGGTGTTAGCGTTCACTCACTAAAGCGATTTACACTTTATTGAATATGCAACCATAGAAATTTTTGGAACATCATTCTACAACCTTTAACTTATTGGTTACGAAACGGTGGCACAGTCAACGCGCAAACCCGAACAGATAACTCATTCCCGTGAAGCACGGTGTTAAATTTCCGATAGAACCATACCGGTGCCAACGCTAGATGTATCCTCATCAGGTTCAAAATTTCGTTGTCCAAATCCGAAACACAAACAGCTTAATTCGGAAGTACAATTTGAATACTTTACACTCAAGTTGCTGAGCTTGTACCTGCTTGTGAGTTCAGCGGAGAAATGTTTTAGACGGCAATTGGCCAGTCTTGCGACTAGTATCTGATGCGTGCATCACCGGCTAAGAAATTGCTGACGTGTGAACACCTAGAGAGACTTGGATCTCTAAAGAAAAATGAAAATATTGTACTATGTAGATTGGAAAGGAGCCTGTGAATTGGCAGTTTCCACTTTCCCCGAAACGTCAATTTTGTAATATCTGCTGTAAACATTTCAGTTTGTGTGAATATTTTGATGAATTCTTTGGTTGAATAAGTTCAAGGTTACTGAGGCCGCTCAACTTCACCGATTGTCTGAAAAATTACCGAGGCACCACGCATAACTCGTAGTTTGAGACTTTCATCCAAATGAATCTAGCTGTCGAGAAACGTTTTAACAAACGTTTGCCTCGTCACCCGGACAAAGAATCTTATAATGCTTTCTATCAACATGTGATCGTTGCTCCAAGAGATGCGGGACAGTTTACTTAGGTGATATTGATACATTCGTTTTCCATTCTAATTTTACACTTGTAAAATTCTCATATTTACTGGTGCTGTTTTACTACTTGTTAAACAGTGAAAAAGCTGAAAATACACTCATCCGAGTGCAAAAAGCTTATCTTGCATTGACGACCTGAAATTAGCGTAATACTTGATGAGCCCTCAAAAGTCATCATGACCGAAAAGAAAGAAGACGAAACGCCAACTATTCAAGAAGCCATATGAAGTAGAAAGGCCTCATTGACTCGATGACTTTCGCTAGAATTCGTGCGATCGGCCCTGTAATTCCCTGGCTATATAGGTCACCCAAACCGTCGCAACGAGACTGGACCTTAACGTGGTGCGACGGTTTGCGTACCTCATTGACCCATTGAGCTATACTGGGTGATGCCTCCGGGCACCTTGAGAGCTACTCCTACCAGGTTGGTCAGTGGTGAGAGGTCAGACAAACTCAGTCTCCTCTTCCTCCAGGTTGGGGGTTTGAAATGGGATGGCGTCCATTTCTGTAAAACTAAATCATTGCCACCTCCCCGCTGCCTTGCGGACAGGTTTTTGAGCCAAAGGCTTTGGATGAGGACCCTAATCGTCCTCCTGTCTAGGTCCGGGCGCCCTGGCAGTATCTCAGCCCACATACAACCATGACATTTTCCTCAAACATAAACTTCATCCTGCATCGGCCGTCGCACAGATTATCAAGGGTCGCCTTATCTGCTGCATACAGCAGGGCGGAGAAGCGAAAACATGCTACTGCTGGCGTTTCCTTTCTTTTCCACCTTTTTCTCTTACTCCCATCCCGACCCCCATTACTAACCTTCATTCTACAATTCCCAGCTTAATTGACAGCAAGCGAAATGCCACTGGAGTAGAACCATCTGCAGCCACCATCCCACCGCAACTATCGGACGCCTATAGGCAAAAGTCCCTAATAAAGCCACGCCATCCCGTTTCCATTTCGACGTTCAACGTTCGCACTTTAAGACAAACAGGTCAACAGGCTGCACTCGCCCGCACCTTAGACACACTGGGTATTGATGTGTGTTGAGTGTCCGAAAGTAGGAGCAATGAACCTAATAGAGTTATTGAATTAACTGCACCCGGCTTATCCTCTCGTTATTGGTTGTACGCATCCGGAGACGCCGATGCAGCACTCACGGGTCAAGCTGGTATAGGTATCATTCTAAGCTCCAAGGCTGAACCATCGTTGGTTGATTGAATTCCGGTGAACAGCCGTTTATGTGCAGCCCGTTTGACGACATCAGCTAAGGTTGATTCACGAAGTAGTAACAAACGCTGTTTGTTCGTGATTTCCGCTTATGCTCCCACCGACTGCAGTTCACATGTTCTCAAGGACACATTCTATCACGAACTGAACGCGGTACTACGCAGTGCTACTAGTTCAGATATTATAGTACTTGCAGGGGATATGAACGCACAAATAGGGCGACTGAGCTCTTCAGAAGCTCAGCTGGGTGGTAATTGTGGGCTTAACTCCGAACGGACTGACAACGGTGAGCGTCTGCTACAACTGTGTGCGGAGCACCAGTTGTTTCTTAGTTGCACTGCTTTTAGACACAGTGGGCGCCGAAGTGTCACTTGGTGTCCTCCTGTAGCTGGCCAGCGATGGACCCAAATTGACCACATAGCCATAAGTTACAGATGGCGCGGTTCCATCCTGGATTGCCGCTCATACTGGAGTACCTGTGTCGACTCTGATCATGCCTTGGTACGCTGTCGTTTCTCCATGAACTTTACCGGGAGGCGCACCAAGCTTCCCCTACGATTGGCAACGGAGAAATTGTCTCAGTCCTCTGTCAGGCAAGCCTATCAAGTGGCGCTGCGTATCGAACTTCCGCTGTCTTGTCCTAATGACACTGAGCTTCAGTGGAATAGGATCTCGGTCGCTATGCATAACGCAGGAGCATCTGCTTGTGGCACCATGCATCGTCACCGCACCAGTCACTGGATATCCGACAGGTCGGTGAACCTGTTGGAATCTGGAAGACAGCTTCCGGCTGGCTCTGAACACAATGTAACCAGACGGGCTATTAGGCGTGAACTAAAGCGGAGCCTACTTGGTGACAAGGAAGCCTGGTGGACCAGTAAGGATCAAGAAATGGAGGAGGCAGGAGTTATAGGCAATTATGACAAGCTCTTCCAGCTAATCCGCACCACTGGTCCCAGAAAACCAGACGTCAGTGAGACAATCAGAGACAGCGCTAGTGCGCTGATACACAATAAGGAGCGCCGTATGGCTCGTTGGGCGGAACACTTTCAAGATCAGTTCAACTGGCCCCCTGCTCCCGGACCTCTTTCAACTCAAGTGATGCAGGACGAGCCATGGTCGGTTAGTTTAGAGCCTCCGTCAGAGGCCGAG